GAATTCGTACTCAGCGTATCAAAAACTATAGATTCATGTAAACTAAAAGTAGGTCCCGAATGGGGGCAACGAAATTTGTTTTCTAAGCGACTTTTGGGGTCACAGAATACGGCCTATACGTTTTGTCTTTGCATATTATAATTCGTTTTACGTTGGACATGTTCGTTCACCTATTTTGGGCAAAGTCTCTTGAATTTCTGACTCCCCTCATTTAAACTCAAATTTGAATTATTCAATTGATTAATTTCGGGATAAAATTGCCGACAAATCGTCTAAATTTTCGTAAAGGCAGGGGCCGCGGAACCGGAGGGCAATGAGGAGATGTGCCTTCCCCCCCCCCCCCCCCCCCCCCCACACACACACACACTTTTTTAAAAGTGAAAAATGTGCTCTTTTTTCTGGGCTAAAGTGCCCCATTCAAAGGAACGAAAAAGTATTCCCGAATGAACGCCTCTTTCGCTGGGATGGAAGTGCCCTTTTTGCAGTAGTAAAGACTCGGTAAAGGCCGTTTCTGACGTGATATACAACACAAGTAAGTTTAAAGATATTGTAGGTTTTACGAGTGATTTGAAATTTGGAGTTTGTGCGTCTAAGATTGGAAATACAGTAGGCGAATTTTATCTTTGTTTTCCCTGACGCTTTAAATTTGCTTTTGTTGGCGTTTTGACCATATTTGATATAAGATTATGTTATTAATTCACCTGTAACTATTTGTGAAATTTGAAAATTTGCAATTCTTTGATAGTTTACTGTAGCTATCCATATTTGTTTGTTTTTATCTGCAAAAAATGCTTAATTTTAAATCATTCATGACATATGTAATTTTTTTGTTTTTGCTCATTTGCCATATCACATTTTTCTTAAAATTGATTGGCTGTTTGAATCCTATGATTAAATATTATTGGTTGGCTGAAGTCAGCACTCTAATGTGATTGGTTGAAAGAAGGTGCGATTTCAGCACGAATCGCACTGCTAGGAGTGCGATTCGTGCTGAAATCGCACTCCTGTGAACCAATCAGATTGCAGGAAGCACCATTGATTTCAAAATGAATATAATAATGTTATTTATGTTACTTCATAAAGTTAATTGGTGCAATTACTGAACGGGTGAACGCTTTACTTAGTGTGTATCTATATCCTGGATACATAGTGCTGATTTTATAAAGACAATAATTTTTAGTTGGTGATGATGATTAATATTGTTATGCTTAAAGTTCAAGTATAATTCTTTGAAAAATTCTTCAAATGTAGTGACATTTTCAAACATCGAACGTTTTGGACAGTGAGATGTATATGTTAACTAGCATTTATGCCTATTGACGTGAGTTGTCGGAATGTATGTTCATTCCTTTCTAATTACTTTCAAAAAGCTGTGATTGGCATACAAAAATCTGAAACTCGTTAATAATTCATGAGTAATATATTAGCCAACCATATTGCTTCATTTTGCTCACATGAGATTACTGGATACCTGATGAAGTGTATTGATCCAGTCCTAGAACTGGATCAAAATTAATTCAGTCCTAGGACTGGATGAAAATTAATTCACCTCACTTTAAGTTGTGATTTATTTGTATGAGATGTCATTTCAAATTCTCCAAATCGGACTGGATTAGATTTCAAGTCCTTGCATTTTGATCCAGTCCGCGGCTTCGCCAAGGACTTGATCAAATGGTGCGGACTTGAAATCTAGTCTAGTCCCCTTAGTCAGATTTGAAATATTACATTAGTCACGGAAGTGGTGCCATGTATTCACGCATCAGTTTCTACCACAATCGCTTATACATGCTCTGTCAAATTCCAGCTTTTCTAAAGCGGTATTTAATCTGAAACAGATAAAGTATGGTCCCCTTTCATTTGGAGCGCTGTTTTCATTCTTCTCATCGAATGTGGTTTCACTGTCGTTGTCGTCGGAGCTCGTCTGTTCTGGTGATACGTTTTCACGCGAGGTGGAACTTGTCAACTCGGGTTGTTCTGGTGGGAGAACGTCATCGATTTCGCAAACATCATCACTATCATCATCGTCGGAGCTCGTTGTCTCGAGTTCTTCTGGTGAGAGAAGCTCATCCACTTCGCAAACACCATAAGCAAAAACCTGTTTCTGATTACACTTGTCACGAAAGAAAACAGGAGAGCCCGAGTCGCCTCCTTCAAAAAATGGACCCTTAACAGCGATTGCATTCTTGAATAATAGGTCGGGGTTATTATAATTGAGTGTAACAACATGGCCGTTTGTCAAGCCCGACGAAAATCCGATTTTCTCCACGATTACTGGATTCCCAGAACCTTCATTCCATTCAGCAAATATATCAACAAGCTCATTCCATATACTCTGCCAATCTTGAGAAGTTACGTCTGCCATTTCGCAATTTATCTCAGTATCTCTTGGGACTTTTACAGACAGAATGTCGCATTCATTATCAAAACGATAATTGTGGAAATCACCAAGGGGGGTGTAGTGGCTTAAATCGTCTTCATATGCGATGGGTTCGTTGTTGCTCTCGATCTCGCGTTCTGTAAACCAATATCTTTCTTCACGGGCATGGAACTCGTAAGCTGGAAGTGAATTGTGAATTTCTTGAATATTTTTTATGTTGATATTAAATGTAGAATTGAAACGAATTGTATCATTTGCACAAACTACATGAAAGCAGGTAAGTGCATAATGGTGTCCATTTTTATAACAAAAAATGGTTAACGTTCCTTTTGCTGCCATATCTGTAACTGGATTGCCAGAAATGCAAGCTAGTACACCACCACCAGGTGACGGGAGAACAGATGGAACAGGCGATGTCGACGATTCGCCGCTTGAATCTGCTAAATATTTCATTCTTGGTTTTCTTTTAGGTTCTTGTAGGAGCTTAAAATATTCTTTCGCGTCACACTTGTACTTGTCTTTAAGATCGCGTCGTACAACCGATTTCTTCGTCCCTTTTTTTATTGTGAGAAAAAGATGCAGATCGATCTATCTTTTTGTTGGGACGAGCCAGCCCATATGCTCCACAAAACCAAGGAAAACTATATAGAAACAACGCCATATTAGATCATAGATAATGCAAAAACAGTTTAGTTCATATAGTTTTACTTTTGTGCGGCGACTACAAGGTCTTCCAAAAAGTATATATATTTAAGTGTTAATTCTTTCATTTCAAAAGATTGTCTCTTTTGTATAGCAAGAACGGTTATGGAAGTGCAAGTGTAAGTATAAGATATAGCTATAAAATTCGCAAGTGAATGGCTAATTGAGTGATGCCGTAATGTTCCTCTCCACGAGATGCCCCTTTACATACTATTGGGCCTGCATTTGGCATTGGGTTTATAGTTAAGGTGGCTCCCTACAGTTATTCTTGTTTACGCAATAATTCCGTAAAACAGGCTTATTTGTGCAGAACGCGAGTTCGTTTCGACTTGGTGACAATATTGGTCACCTAAGGAATATTTCGAACTAGATTTCGACAATGTCAATGTTCCCATGGCAACATGACGACAGCATAAAGACCCATAAATGTGCCGCTATCTCAAAAACGATGTCGGTGACCTATCTTTTTTATTTCATATATCAATAAGGAATGATGCTCTGCAACGGTGGTGAAAGTTTAAAAAAATTCTGTAGTGTGTGATTTTTTTAAAAGCGAAAATTTTATTGCGAAATTTCCACACTACAGATTTTTTTAAAAATTGAAGATAAAAAATAAAAATAAATTCGTGGTCAAAATTTGAAGATAGGTCACCGATGAAACTAATGAGTAAAATGCAAATAAAGTTAGAAAATAGCCT